AAACTATTCTATGATTCTATGATAAAATAATGCTTTCAACATGAGAGCTCTCAACAACTCAGGTCCAATTTGAAAGAGTTCCTTGTTCTTTTTGAGTAGAATTACACATTTTAGGGAAAGAAACCTTCCAGAACAGTAAGCTTTTCCTTCTAAGGAAGGCACCTGTTTCCATTCACAGTTCTGTGTAGTCATGTGTTTGGTCATACACTGCTAGACAGCTGATGATGAATATAGATTTGACAACTTAGATAGTTTACTGTCATCCACTCTAGGTACTCCAGGGTCCTTTGTAGCTCTGGTCAAGAATATTTTTCTTTTTTCTGTGCCTTGGAACTGAGAGCTATTTTTTTCTTCTTCAGAAGGTCAAGGTTGGTTAAGATGCAATTCTGGCAGGATCAGACAGGACTCAAGGCAGGCAGACTAGAGGACAAAGGTGTTGTCACACTACTTATAGAAGGTCCAGATAATTAATGCTACCCAGTCCAAAAGCCTGGGAATATTTTACACTATAAGGAGACACTAGCAAGTCTTTGTTCCTGCATGAGAGCTGCTGTGTGCGTATTAAGTTCATCTTGAACTAGTAATGGGAAAATCCTTTGTTGATATAAACCAGATTAATTCAGTAGACTTTCTTTCAGCAGTTAACTTAATCCACTGGGAATCAGTGGTCCTATTGTTACAGAACTTTTCCTATCAGGAAGCCTTGCTGTCATATGTCCACTCTCCTGTTTCTTTTACAAGGCCCTTCCTCTCAGATTGCATCTGGGTTCAGTTGTTGGTGCAACGCTATGTCCCTGTTTGGAAAAGGCATGTTTGGATGGATATAGAAGGTTGGCTAGCAGTGAATGTTTATATGCCTAGGACTAGAAGTGACTTTGGTGTTAAAGTAGGTTATGAGGGCGAGGCTCTGGGGAAAAGGGAATGAAATCTCCAAATTTGTGGGTTCTTTTTCTGCTACCAACTTAGAACAAAGGAGTTATAGGTATGGCCCTGTACTTCAGCACTGGCCAATGATTATGGCTTCTCTTATGGCTTCTCTGATGGTTAAATAAATTTGCATCCTTCTTGTACTGGTCTCATCTTTTGTCTGACGCCGGAGTGAAATAATCATGGATGAAAACTGGAAAGATCCTTGTCCATTCAATAATCTATCAATTAAATGACTGTAATTTTTTTTCTTTTTCAGAGTCATAAACATAAATTATATACCAGGTTTTCCTATGAGATTCCACTGCTTAGTGACTACAGAATTATACTAGCTTATTACTTACAATAGCAAGGGTAAGATTTCACTGTTAATTCCCTCACCAAAAATCTCACAGCTTAGCCCATATGTTTCTCAGGCTGTTCACATATTCTGTTTTGTTTCTTCTCTTTTCAACACCCTGTCACAGGTCAAATGACATTCTTCCACACACCCAGATTTTCTAATGTCAGTGTTTCCTATGATCACATAAAAGAGTAACATAAAAGAACAGCACAGAACACTCTAAAAAAAGTCTTAATTCAAAATCATACATTCAGACCTAGAAAAATTCAGATTGGCAATACTCAAGGTTTGTACCAGCTAATGTGTTAAGGATAAGTAAGTATGTCAAATAATACACAAATGTTTAAGCAAAGGTAAAATGACAACTCGCTCTGTAAATAAAGGTACTTAATTGCCAGTAAGGACCTGTGAGGTGGTTCTAGTATGCTGCTTGTTGACCAGCAAAAGTTGAATCACCTGGTTTATATAATTGTCATGATAGTTGTGTCCACCGTACTTTAAAGCTACATTTCATAGACAAAAATGTCACATTGGATATAACTTCCAGTAAAGTTTGTGCTATCTATTGATCTAATTGCTTCTGACAGTCTAATCATTGTATTCAAGGTCTTTCAAGAAAATTTACTGTACTGAAAGCAATGCAACCAATTCAGAAGTTGTGGATACTATAAACAGAGAATTTACTGGGAGGAGGATTATTTTCTGAAGCAACTGGTTTTAGAAGAACCCCTCCCTAGTCAGTGCTCCCAACTAAAATAGGCTGCTGGTTACCTGCCTTACGTTATGCCTTGTTTCCCCAGAAAAGCTACAGAAAGAGTCACCTTTTTTTTGACTTGCAGACTGATACTTACCTGAAGAAATGTCCAAAATTTCTATGTGCTAACCTATTGTGCCTCTGCTTCTCTGCATCAGCAACACTGAATAGGGCTGAAGGGATTTGGACCACGGTCCCAGTCTACGCTTCCTGACCTATAGGGGCTATGCTGAAGCAGCAACCTGGATAAAATACAGAGGTAAAATACAACAGCCAAGTGTTGGAAATATCACTAACCTCTGAGCAAAGGCAGAAGAAGGAAATTCTCTCAGACTGCCTGCGCTCAAGAACAGGAAAGAAGGGAGGAAAGGGGCAAGACAAACAGATTCTATTTCTTGATGATTTTAATTACATGGTGATAGGAGACTGCGAGAGACCCACTAAAGAATAGCCAATAGCCTGATAGTGAAAGTACACATTTGGTTTTGAGATACAAAGTTTCAAATCCCAGGTCTAAATGGGGGACTGTTTCCAGCAAAACAAGGAACCTCCATCCTGTCTTCCACTTCTGCAGTGAGTTTCCTAATCATGACTATAAGCTATCATAGTGTGAGCAAGTCAGTCTCACAATTTTTTAAGGGAAGAACTCTAAAATATTTGGGGTTGTATTGCTTCCAGGCCACAGATTTGAAACTTCAAACATCCATGGGATTGAAAAAACACTTCCTTCCTGTTCTCTAAATCTACTTGTTATCCAGAGAACTATCCAATCTGACTTTGAAAATTTTAAAACTTTTAGTTTCCTCGTACAATTTAATTCCAGTATTAAATTCCACAGTTTTATTGCTGATTCTAAGAAAGAATTTTTCAAGAAGTTTCCGTATTCAAGAAGTTACACCGCTGCCTCTGATTTTTGGCTCATCATTCCTATTTCCTGATTAGAGTGTAAAGAGGAGAAACTGAACTTAATCTTAGTTCTCACAGAACTTGAGGGAAAACTATCTCTACGTCAGGCTCACGGGGAAATTGCAAACCAAAGCACTATCCTTTCTACACCTACATTTATAGCAGGGCTAGATCCACAGGGAACATGTACTGCAGCACTTAATAGGTTTATCAAAGGTAGGACTTCAGCTGCATAAGCTAGAGGACTCTTCAGGGATGGCAAGATGATTGTTTTTACACTGATGGTCTTTGCCAGGGTGCTTATGACTGCTTTGAAGCTGCTTTACACAGGCACAGTTGGTGTAAAATAGCCTTTGGCTACCTATGAAACAGTCCCCTACTCTCAGCAAAGACTGATGGATTTTGTTCAATGTCCTTAAATGGGACGAGTACATGTCAAACCATGGGAAGAAATCAGCTTTGAGTTAATTCTAAGTGGCTTTTTGAGCAAGAAGGCACAGGAACTATAAAGACAATTTAAAATTCGTGTTCTTTTTATTTTTCTTTTTGGCTTGTATTACTCAGCTTTTTTTCTCTGTGGTTGCAATGTGCCTTACATAAAAAAGAAATCTTGTTAGACAGTGGGTTCAGGTATTCCAAAGTGAGTATGAGTTAGCTTTGGCTATGTAACAGCAATTGTCCTGGTAAGAAAGGTGCAGAGCAGGGCAGGGTGAGAAAGCAATAACTTTATATATTTTTTAGGAAAATTTTAAGATGAGAAAAAATGCCAGTTTCATGTTCATTCACTTTTCCTCTGCCAGATGTGCTTTGTGATGTAGCAGAGAAACTAGATGACTGTCCCCTTAAAAGCCATCATACCAATCAGCAGGTTTAACTGTCAAGCAAGCTGATGTAGGGCTCTTTGAATTACTGAGTGAGGGATATTCTTCCTGCCAGGTCCTGTCCCCTGCAGGCACTGCAAAGAAGTATTATAGGGCAGTCCTTACCTTGGGAATTAGCCTGCAAGACCCCAATGCTGTCATCAAACTGCATAGATTTGATGTTGAGTGACGCCAAGATGCATTCCTTGTCCTGCAGCGAAGCATCATCAATATTATTCTGATTGGCTGACAGGATAACGCACATGTCGCAGAGGTTGATGTTGACAGCCCTTAAATCAGCCCGACTTAATGGTGTACCCTTCGGCACAGAGAAAAAAAGGGGAGGGGCGGGCAGGAGAGGAAAAAAAGAAAAACAAATTAAAGATTGAGAAGGAGCTTTGGGAAATTATTTAACAAGTATCTTTTTTATGCTCTGACATTAAGCTGGTCTAACTATGTGCCAGGGAATAGGAGATGTGTGCTAATCTAAAGGGTAGTTGGTGCTGATGGCAGCATTTTAGGTTCAGTCTCAATACTCAGTCAAGCTATTACTAACAAACAAGAAACAGGAATAATGCCAGCATTCTACATCTCATAAGTGACTTGAAATTGTCTTGATTTAAGTTGCTATCATGTGGGAACCTCTGGCTCTCTGAATATAACAAGGGGTGTGTTTTAAATGTCTATTTATCTACTACCAAGTCACAATGGTCTTGGGCAAAAGAATAGCAATTTAAACAGGAAAGCATTATGTGTCTTACACATTTGAAATGCAATCAGGATAAAGCTACTTTTTTGTACCTGAAGCAATACACAAAAAAGGTTAATCCTTTTCAATGCATGTTTTTGGTGCTTCTAGAAGGAAAACACCCTGATCTTTAAAGTTGTGTGATTAAACCCTTTGAAACAGAAGCACAACTTTATCTTAATGAGCACAACTCATGCAACATTCCCCGCTTCCACATTCTCAATCAGAGAATGCAATAATTAAAATGAAATGTTGTGGTAGTCCGTGGGTTTTTTCATAGTTAACACAAATGAGAGATGACACTTAACCCATTATGTTTTGTTTAAAGATAACACTTGCCTTTCACATCCAACAGTCCACATCTCTAGTCATAGAATATTAAGTGTATGTCACAGGGGCTGCGAGGTCCAGGAAAAAAAAGATTTTTTTATGGAAATTAGATTCTGCTCTGCTGCCTCCCATAGTTTGGTACCCAAAAAACCTAATGATCATGAGGAACTAAGCTGCCCCCTTGTCACACAGCGACTTTCATAAAACCGAGTCAAGACCCTACTCTTCTGTCTCCTAATCACTCATGGTGAACGTCTCCTGAACTCCACTGAGAATACTCAATGCAAAAGTGAATTTAAAATGCACAAAGTGAAGGCAGAGCTCAATTCTTATTCAGTGATTGCCATCTAGTTTCAGATACCAGCCTCACTATTCCACGTTACTTTCAATAATTTGAGGCATGAAACCTTGTGGAAAACAGTATATATTGAACAGACATGATTTAGTTATAAAGTACTCAAAAGTTAGGATATGATTATTCCTGCCACCTTAATTCTGCCCTTTGTGTCTGTACTGTGCACCAAGTGAAGCAGGATTCCTGTGGGGAAAAATAATATGCAATCATGTAATTAATTAAAGGCTTAGTCCTAATTATTTTATGCAAAGGGATAGAATTAAGGCTGCCTGAGGATATTTAAAATTGGCATTTGCCTACTTTTTAAGAGCTTACTCAGCAGCTTAAATGCCTCTTTTAATACAAACTTTAAATGAAATTTCCACTTTTTTTTTAAACCAGAACAAATGTTTTTATATTCAGCTGTAACCACATCCCCATCAGATATCAGCAGCACGTTTTACCTCGTGAACCAAAGCACAGAGAAGTAGGAAATGAGTGGCCTCCCTTTACCACATGATTCCTACCAGTATGATCCAGAAACTTTAGTAGACTTTTAAATTAGTATAATTAGATCAGAATAATGCTGATATTTTTAACTTTATATCGCCATTTTGAACCAGATAGGCTGAAAAAAAAAGAAGAAAAAGCAGTAATAAAGTCTGTGTGGTCTTCAGTACCCTTGATTACTGTGTAAGATACAATTTCTTTACATATTCTGTATTTTTAAAGGTGCTTTAACTAACTATTTAAGCTGTTTAACTTGAAATTAGTCCAAAACTACTCTAAATTTGGGTGCAAAATGATTGAGGAATGTAAAGATGGTGTATTTCCTTAATGCCTCTTCGGAATTCAGAATCGAAACTTTATAAATATGCATTATAATAATGGATACACATTATATATTGGATAGTTTGGAAGTAGTATCTGGCTTCTATTCTGCTCCGCAGTTCAATATATTATTAATTTAATTCTGATTCCTTAGTCTTTAGCCTTCACAGTGACTGGAATTAAAAGGGATTGGCAGGAAGAGGAGGATATTAACTGACCAAATCTGATATTGACACCATTTTTGTGACAGCAGAGAATCTTGTGACACCATCTGTTGGATCAGTTTACAGAAAAAAAGCCATGGGCTAACACTAAAACTGCATTTACAGTAACAAAGACCTACAGCCTGAATTAATCAGAAGCGACGGCAGTCTTTCCATTCTGTAGCTATTTTCCCAATTATTCAGTTTAGGTTATATCCATCATTGATTTATTTAGTTTTAACTGCTGAAATGTAATCATTAAGAACTGGTAAATTCATAATTTTTCATTCCGACAAAAACATACAAACTAACTTTACTCTGTAACGTACAAAGCACTCTCTTTCATACTTACACCACGGGCTCGTTTCCCTTCTGCCTACATCTTTGTGGGTCATTTAATAGCTATGACCACCTATGATCACTAGCTTGGAGGGCTTCATTTGTTTGTCCCAGAGCTCGTGTTTCTACATTTTGGGCACACGAGTGAATGATAATGATATATAGGAGAAAAAGGACCTCTGAATTGTGGTTTTAGTGGTTGCCCCTACTAAAATCAATAGGAGCTTTGCATCGATTTCAAAAGGGTCAGGGTTTTGCCATACTTCCATACATGAGTATGGTAGGACTCTGAACTGAAATGCCGTGGCAATGTTCCTTATAAAGTAGGCCAGCCTACAGGAATTTTTTATGAATATAGATAGATATTATGCACGTAGAGTAACAGTAATTTTTTTCAAAGGTTTTGTGGGTATAAATACATAAATAATGTCATAAATAACTACTGTCATTCTGTCAGGGAAATCACAACATCAGAACTGGCTACATGCAGTGCACTACAGTGAATGTTCGATATATAACACAGCTAATACATTTGATGGCAGCTGAAATTCATCCGGTGAGGAGGATGAGGAACCGAACACTGCAGCAAGTATCTTCTAATAAGGTCTCACAGGGCTGTGTTTTCATAGACACAGTAAAGGGAAAATCTAAGTCCTCAGGCCTATAAGTAGACAAAAGTAAAAAAGCCTAAGATCAAAGTCAATGTGAATCTGTCCACTTGGTGTCCTAAATAACAAAGTATCAATAATATGGCTTTGGACTTACAGGCAAGATTGAAACCTTGGGGAAGTTATGCAGTGTCTCCCATTCCCTTCTCAGGTATTCAAGTGAACCCACAAACACAATGTGTTTGAGTTCATGGTAGTGAAAGTTGCTGGCTCGTAATGGCATCACTAAATTTCTTAATCCAATCAAAGCAGATTTAACATCCCCAAATATGCAAACGACTACATGCCCACTTAAAACTGTCATCGCTGCTTCGCTTCGAGTCTAAAAAGAAAAACAAACCAAAAAGACAAGGGAGAAATGAAACAAAGGGAAGCTTAAATCATATATTGAGTTTTAAACCAGGAAAAACACAACTGTAAATATTGTTCATGCACAAAGAAGCAGTTTGATAATAGCTGTTCATTTTACCCTTATTTATCCTTCATTAAACGTGCTCAGCAGAAGAAAATTTTGTTCTTGTTTGCAAATCCTTCAGTGTTTGGGAAGACATTGTACTGAATCACATTCTGGTCCTATATCTGCTTCTACACATGTGGATTAAGACTCTGGTTACAATCAAAGTACTATGGGTTTAGCTAAGAACAGAATTTGATCTACTATGCGTTTAGCCATTAGACGGATTATAGAAAAGAGATGCAAAACCATGCCTTAGCTGACGAGTGACTAGTGGAGCTTTTTCAGGACCAATTTAAAAAGGAAAATGTGAGTGCCCAATGATCTTAGTAGGGCTTTGTGGTATTACACACATCTTGTGAATTGAGGACCATATTCTCTTAGAGTCAAAGTTCTTATTTTAGGACAAGCTGCTACTGCCCTGAGAAGCAATCAGAGAACACTCTACACTGCTCTGCTTTACAATGGATGCCCACCATACTCCACAGAGCTTCTCTCAGTAACAAAAAACTACTGTGCCAGATCGTGACTAATACTAACTTTTCAGGCCCACTGGACTTCCTGAGTTGTTGAATAGATAGAAGGAAAAAAGTCTCATGGAGAACATTTGAATGATATTCAGAATTATCTTCTTGTCTCAGTGACAAGAATAAATTTTTGCACTAGTTTCATCAGTGGTAATGTCAGTTGAGCAGGCAACTCAAACACTAAGATGATTAAATAAAGTCATTAGGAAAAAATGACCTTCGTTTCTGGAGTCAGTCTTAGCATTATTGCACTCCATCAAATAGCTGCAGATCCACTGATATCATATTGCCAAGAAGTTGTACACTCAGTACCATTACATAGAAGTTTTGCCAATTAATAAAACTAAGACAATGGTGAACTACAAAATTTTCCCTTCACTTATCCATAGTATATGTCCTTTCTCTAACTTATGGAAGCATGACAATGTGCAATACAGATTGGAATATGCAGCAGAGGTGTTCACTATGTAAGAAGAACGGAAACTCTGAGTAGAAGTTTTCTCATCAGTTAAAAAATACATGAGCTTTCAATTTCTCTGAGACAATTAGACTGATTTTCATACAACTCTAGCAAGAGAGTGGTCTTGGCCCTTCAAACAGCAGAAGACATGAGCGAATGCTCAGGTGAAGCATGTAAGTTGTCCCATGCCTCTGCCTATGGGTCTGGAATACTCAGACTTTACAAGACAGAGACCAAGTCTTGAAAGAAATTATGTAAAAAATGTCACTCTATAGTCATTGATCTGTATGTAGCCACATACATTTGACTGCATGTCAAAAAAAGTTCTTACGACCTGACACTGCTGGAACCTTGCAGGGCCAAAACAGGCCTTGGGCAGAAAAATGAATTCTTTTCTGATTGAGGCATTATCAAGTATCAATTAGAAGACAACCTGGGAAATCCCATTGTCTTCAAATTATGTACTAATTTGTACTTGTGTGGTCTCTAAGGACAGCGTTAAATTTGCATGGATACGAATGCAGACATAAATTGTGGACTGTGAGTTTGAAAAGGGGTAGGGAAGCATTTTGCTGACAGTGTCTTTATTGGTGATGATGCATGAAGCAGAAAGAACCTGGTCAGACTTACAGATTCACAGGCTAGTAGGGGGAAAAACTGACATGGCATCACCAAGAGATGATAAATGAGGCACCCCACAGCGTCATTTTTGGAGAAACACTTTTCAAAGTGGGACAACATGTAAAGGTTGTCTGCTAAAATGTGTTTAGAGCATGAAGGCAGATTTCTATCTCTGTCTATTACAAAGTACTGTACAGCAGGGCTGCCTCTCCTTGCCCGATGAATACATATAAATGCATACTATTTAAAGCTGTTCAACCAAACTCCGACTCACAGCTCAGTCTCTAGAATTTGGAATTTACTTGCTTGACTGTTTAAACACCGATATTGCAATTCCAGGCAATGTCATGGTTATTACAGAAACCCCTGAGGAGAAGTGGAGACAAGCTTTTCACCCCTGATGCTAGAATAAACTGGGGCTGTCACCATCGTCGGCTACACCACACCACAGTGCAGGAAAATCTAAGAGAGCAGACTCAGGAAAAGCTTTATGAAGTGCGACAAAGTGAAGATCCACCAGGGAGTTCATTTCAAATATCATCAGTTTTGCATATAAGATCTGGAGTTAGTTGCTTGTTACTCTTAGGTATGAGTACATGAACACAAGTGGCACAAACTTTCACCGAGCAAAATAGACTGTGATAGGCCTTCTAATTATTTTTAATGACTTGAGTCAGTTTGATGGTTTCCCCAGTTAAACAAACAAAACAAACATAGACTAGGCTCACTGCAACATGCTTGAAAGGCAGAGTAGTAGTACTACTTACTCTGGCCTATTTGGGCATCTTGAAATGTTGGAAATTGAGAGAGAAGTTCTAAGAGAGCAAAATTCACATAAATAAATAAGAGATAATGCAAAGCAACACTTGCCTGTATTAGAATCATTACTGCCTTGTGTAAAGAGATAAAAGGGGTATGTAAACATTTAAATATTTCCAATCTTAATTCTCTAAAGATTTAAACTCAATATGCAAATTTAAGCTTATGAAAAAGAAATTCTCTATTTTGGACCAATTTTTATTGTTGCATTTGGCATACAGATTTATATAATCACAATTCTTTAACCAAAATGCTAGCTTTGATTTCACCATGCTGTGTTTCTGATTTCAATATGCTGGATTTAATGATAGTAGAGATTAATTTATTAATCTATTAGACATCAGTTCTATGGTTCAGATAACCTCTTTTCAAACACAACAATCATCAATACCTACCAAAATGACCTTTTCAATGTCCTTGGCTGGACACCAATGAAACATCCCTGTAGAGTCGTATTTTTTCACATTGGCATCCATATTGTCAATCTGCTCATTGCCAGGAATTAACAAGGGGTCATGCCTGGGGAAAAACAAGTTGAGGACAACACAAGTGGAAAATATTATGAATTATGGATGGAAAGATATCCCAAGAGCTGTGTACAAAGAGGTATAAAAGTAAAAAAATGAAATGTATTTACACTTTTAACATGCTTTCAATGTGAACACTTTTAAACAAAAGCTGAAAAGAAAAAAAGTTAATTTTTAAATTTTGGGTGCAGTTTCAAAGATTTTCTATACTCTTTCTACACCAATAACCATTTAATTTTAAACAGGGCTTTCTGACACTATCACATCCATAAAATTTTTTTTTCTTTCCAGTTTCACCCCTCCAAAATAAATATCGGAGTTGCTGTTAGCATCTGCAATGAAGTAGAAGGGAGAGGAACAGAACCCCATGCTGACTGACTGGCACAAGTACGGAAAGCCAATTACTTGCTTTTACCACATACAACTTCTGACGTGATGCTCTTCGCAGTAAAAGCTTTAACAGGCTGCACTTTAAATATTTTAGCAATTTGCCCAATCATATTTTGCTTTCCCAAACTGAAGCCCTTTAAAGATTCAACAGTATGTCATTTTAGAGCAGACTGACTAACAAATGCCCACATCTGGAGCACATGATTTTAATACCAAACAACAATGTCCATTTTCTTGGACAACTCTACCTGTGATAACCTTCTAAGTGTTTTTGCAGCAAGATTTTAAAGCACAAGGCTTCTCAAAGGAGAAGCAAATAACAGACATTTTTGTAAACTTGCTCTCCAGCAATATAGTTACATCTAAGCACAAACACATACAGTTCTTTAATTTATGTGCTAAAATCAAACATTAAGCTAAGTACTAAGTGACTCCAACACTCTCAGATGCTAGTGAGGACCCCTAAGTAACTGCATTATAGAAGAGCATTAGACAGAGGACCGTGTTTACAAGGCACAGGGTAAGCTGACCCTAAAATCTTAAATTCAAGGAAGGAAAAGAGCTTTGTCTGGCAAAACTACAGTCTTTACTTAAGGTTTTTGTCATGAATGCTTGAAATATCCTGATACAGAATTGTAACATTTCAAAGAAGAAAATATTTGCAATATAGGATTATGCTAAGTACTCTGAGACAAGGAGCTGAATTTTAAAGTAGTTTGCCTTTTGAAGTCTGTTAAAGAAATGCCTATATTGGCTGAACTCTCAAAACTGGAAAGTTTACTCCTTTTAAAGCATATGAGCCAGCAGACTGTGGTAAGAACCTCTCTTCTACATTGTCTACTAAAGCAGACTTTGAACACTGTGTATGATATAGATTAATTTACCCTGAATATAGTATGATAAGTTACCATTCCTAAAAAAGTTATGCTTACGTGCCTAAGAAAGGGATAATCTCTAATTCCACCAGGGTGATTAATGTGTGTAATTTTATAGCCACTGATTATATATCCATTGAAATCAGTGGAAGAATTCTCATTCATTTCACTCAAACAGGATCAACTCCATATAAAGTCACTTAAAAGAATTTGAGAAACTATTAATACAATGTTCCATTTAAACCAGAATCTTTTGATGCTTTAAGAAAAAGCAATGCACTACATGGCAAAGGCATAAGTCAGACTCATCTGGAAAAAAAACCACTATGTTTTCAAAGCTTTTTTACATTCACTCAACAGAGATACAGCTCAGTGCATTTCACTATCAACGCGCTGGCAGCAGAGGACTCTCTAGGGGACTACCTGGAGTCTCTGACCCTACTCCAGGTTTAGTCATGAAAGGCCTTGCGTAAGTGTGCTCCCTCTTCTGTGGGAAGCAGAGGTGACTTCTTGGTGCAAAAGCTGTACCAAAGGTTTTTTTTGTGGGTTTTTTGGTATTTTTTAAAAATTTCTAGAAAAATATCTAGACTCTGCATTCGCTTACTCCATTCATCAGCGAGCTGCAGCCATGGTAGTTTTGGCTGAGAGCTAACTGTGATGCTGTTCATAGGGCACTCCTTGCTGCTCAGAGTTGCATGTGGTACAGTAAGGTCTGCAAGCATGGATACAATTCCATTTGAAGGTTGCACTAATGTTCAGACAACACTTAGTGGTACTCTGTCCTAGCTATTTTTTCTGATGGAATGTGTTAGTTATGTGTTTCAAAATAAGAAATTTTGCCAAAAGGTTAGGAATCTTCAGGAGCTTCCACTGTGAAAAGTTTTTCTTTCTGTTTTGGTTTTTTTTCCCCCTAAACTTTCACAGGACATTTCTCCACCAGCCTTTTGTAGCACAGCACTGAAACAAAAGCAAAATTCACTGACCAAATCTCCTCCTTTTTCTTTCAGAAATTAGATGCATATAGGAAGGAATTTTCCTTTTCCCTTTCCCTTCATCAGAGAAACTATAATAAATCAATTTGTAAAAAATGCCACATTCTAATTTTCTAATCAGTGTTTCTTTTCTGCTCTGAGATTTAAAACAAAATAGATCACCTGAAGCTTTCACGCAAATGAGTATTTAGCAATAGTCTAATCCCAGTCACAGAAATGATACAAATTGAAAGGAATCTTATAACAAAGCAAGTGATAACAGATATCTGACATTAACTACCTTGAAGTCTGAGGCAATTTTTTGTGTGTGTGTGCTTAAAGCCTAGCGCAGTTCTCTTTTGGGTAAGGGTCTTGCATCCTAAAAGGGAATATTCAAAGTAGCTTGTACCAAAGATTTATTAGAATTTTACCTTGATACTTTATTTTCTAGTTATCTTAGGTTTAAACAGAAGTGTGCTATGGAAGGGGCGGAGAATGTAAATCATCAGCTATAACTCCCTATTGAAATTTTAGGTAACAAATTGTGATTTTTTAAAAAAATTTAATTTTTTTTTAAATCAACACATGCACTTATTTGCAATATGATAAACTGTTTGGATCCTCTGTTTCACTGCTTTGAGTACAGCAAGTGGGAGCCTTAAAAGAAGCAAACAGGATGGATCACACAACTAGAAAGTATGCTAACAGACACTGTCGTAGTACTTTTACTCTAGGAGAATGGATTATTGCCTGAGAAGGAAACCATGATAAGACTAGCCACGCTTTGTGTTTTTTATGATTTTTTACATGTATATGTGTTTATTAAATTTCAATCTTCTGGGCTAAGCTACTATTTTAATCTCTCTTTAACCAATGATTTTTCATTCTCAGTAAAGCGTGGAGGTTGAAAACTGTTTACTACTAGGTCCAGCTTTGTCCTCAGATGTTAGAAGATACGCTTATGTACTTAAAACCTGAATTGATCTTTGGCCTTTTTTTCTTCTTTTTTAGAAACCATGGTCATTTTATGAAGTAATACAGTAATAAAATAGTATTACTACTTTGGACACACACACTCTCATTAATCTGACGATCTAAACCTGTTTTGCAAATACTAAAAATTAATTAATACAGACACACAGAGGCCAAGGCTGTCAAATCTGCCTAAGGGGTTTGGACACCCTCTTCCCATTAAAATTCATATTACACAAAGCATTACAGTTGTTGCCCTCACAGCCAAATCATGGACTGAATGTTTCTAGAGCCTCTCTGCCCCCCTCACCCTTGAAGATGGCCCTGTCAAGCCATGCTTGACTCACATTGGCAGGTTACTGTGGAAATGCTTGTATTAGTGCTGCAGCTATTATGTTCTCCAGGGCTGTAAAGTCATCTGCTTGAAAAATTCAAATTATAGGAAGAAAACCATCTTCTACCAATTAAAATCCATAGTGTTTGTTTTAATTGAGATGTTGGCTATTATGGCTTGCAGTGACCAAAGCATTTGGTCATTCCAGCTAGGAAAAGACAGCATGTACAGCATGCATGGGAGAAAAGGAGCAAAAGTTAATTTTCCCTCATCCATAACCCCCGTTTAAAAATAGCTTCTCTGGTTCTTATGGCAGATATTACATATGCATGACTTAAAATGAAGAGCAAAATACCATCTTTTCAAGGTTTTGAAAAGCATATAATGCCACTTATGATCAATTAAACTTGAAAACAACGCGAAATGCCATGCTACAGCTGCAACCCCAAAAAGCCTGCCTGGAAGACAACAGCCTAAAGCAAAACCATAAATCCCACTTCCAGCAAACCTATTGCGAAGAAGTCAACATTACATTTTAAAGAGCGCTGCTTTCCTAGCACACATTTATAACTACTGCAAACTTATTTACTTGGAGTTTTTGAGTCTGGAACTTCTGAGTAATGACTGGGGACACACAGAACTGAAAAGACCATTTGGGACCAAATGGCTGCCTCATTAAATGACTGTTCTTCAGCATATTCTTGGATTCTGTCACCTTTGTCTTAACCCTCTTGCTATCATTCACACACAATTTTGAGCATTAAAGTAATATACCCTCATTGATCTGCAGTGGAACTGCTCCTTATGTTGAGCACTGGGAATGAGAATTGCTGTATGATGAGTAGGGACCCTGGTATTGTTTGAAAATAAACTGTAATCTGTTAGTCTTTGCACATCACACTAAAACAATGTCTTGGCTACTTTTTATTCTGCCCTGCAATAACATTCTCCTTATATAAAATCAACGGCAAAACACCCCTGGGAACAGCACAACTCCTCTTTAACCTCCTCTGTGTTTGTTAAAGTCTGCAATTATGCCTTTCTCAGGTAGATATACTATATTTGGATTTTGCCCACAAAGAGATGTTTAGCAGTCTACTGCTTGAGATTTGGGGTCTTCAAACTCTCCTTGTGTGTGGGCCAGGAATTTTGAGTTTTCCCGACTTTGGATGTGGATGTGTGTTCTCGAGTGTATGCACACACATACGTAATTTTAGGAGGAAGAAGTGGGTTTGCTGAAGGTAAGATAGAAACTGAAGACACACTAGAGAATGTCTCATGCCTTTGAAATTTCTCCTACAACTACCCTAACAAATTGTGGCAATTAACATGCTGTTAGTGTTAGATGTATGCAGCCAGTGCAGGTGCTAATAATTGAAAAAGCATTTAGAGCTTTTACACCCTGACTGAATATTTCATGATGTGCTGCATGTTTCACTATTTACTCAGT